AACAGATTTTATTTAGTATTTTCCCCAAAGTGTTTTACTTTGTAACGGCGTCTCTCTTCCTGTCAGACCCAGGGAATTGCTGCTGAATGGCTGCATAGTCTGACTACAATAGACCTGGACTCTATCTCAGTCAGAGCTAACCAAGCCTCCTGGAGGAAATGCTGTCAGGTGTGATCATCCCCATCAGCTCTCAGTGAGCGCTAAACGCCACCACCTCGTCCCACACCATTTTCTGTCAGATCGGTTGTAAATTGGATTTGATGCGTTCTACAGAAAACTTTGTCAGTTCCTACAAGAAAAACAGGAAGTGACAGTTTTTATGAGACCAACAGAACAAACAGGTGATGTTTCAGTCCCAGAGCCAAGTTTCTGTTTATTGTCTGATGCGCAAATTTACCCCATGCAGTACGGCTGTATCTTCTATCCTCCAGTACTATAGGAGATCTTTATTAGTTGCACTGAGAGTTTAGGAGGTGAAGCAGATTCTGTCTCTGCAGGAAGTCCTCATTGACAAATGTCCATTTCTGTTTGACCATATTCCATTTGGTTGGAATATAGGTTTACTAGATGCTGTCTCATTATCTAAGCATGAAACATATGCAGAAGACAGGCTGGTCATGATTCCAGGGTACTGTTTTCAATTTTTTAGTCCAGAAGAAAACAATTGGAGTTTTCAGTGGATCATGGTTGGCAGGATGGCCCCCTACTTCCTGCAAAGATTCCCCTCCGAAGAGCAAACACTGCTCATCATTGTCCAAGCCGCTGCTGACAGGCACTGTACTGCTGCAGGGCCCCAAACAGGTCTTCGAAAGAAACATCTCTGTGGGACGGCAGAGAACTGGGGACAGAAAACAAAACAGACGACATTAAACCAAACAACAGTACAGATATAAAGGCCACAGTTCATTGGTTCTTCAGCCCTCAGTCAGTTTGGGTTTCTGTTGCTTTAAAATTTACTTGTTTGGTTTAAAGAAAATCCTCCTTTGTTCCTCAGAGACTGATGGAATTACTATGTTTTTGTATCTCCCACATCTTCTCCAGAACTGGACGCATTTTGGCCGACTTGATCAGCCAGTTTGGGTGCTTTAAAGGTGAGTGATCCTTTCTTTTCTGAAAGTGTGGCTTACATCCTGAGCTCTGCCCTGTTGCTTTGGTGTTATTTCTGAAGGCTGAAGACTTGGAAGTGGTTAGCTCGGTTGTTGGATGAGCATCATCTCTGATGCTTCTCTTCACAGCTAACGCGCATCGAGCAGCGGGAGCAGCTGGTTCACATGCAGTCAATGGTCAAAGTTTGGATTACGCACATGAGCAGTAGCAAGTGTAGGGGAAAACCCCAAGAGAAGACCGGGCCTGAGTTAGCTGCTGCTGGGGATTCCCAGTGACAGCTCACTCTGGTATCCCACAGAGAAATAATATTTGAAGGCAGGATGTTAATCTGGATGAATTGACAACTCAGACTATTTTCAGGAGCAATGTTTTGCATTAAAATCATATTCAAACTACTTTTTACCAACTGATCACAGCAAATATAGCAAAGCCGCTCTTTCATTGAACACAGAAGCAGCAGAAGCATCAGACGCATCTGGACACACTTTACTGGACGTCTGACCTTAATGTGGAGAAGCATCAGAAATGAAGCAGCAGGAGCTTTTTTTGCTTCTTAGAGTGCGTCTAGTGTGAACGTAGACTTCTCTGTTCCAGACAAAGTTTCACTGCCTCTGGTTTAAATCTGGTTAAATCTATAATCATTGCTAACTCATCATAGGGAACAATGATCCTCCTTTACACTTAACTAAACATGATCCTGCCGAGTTCCAAAAGTCCATCTGCATCTTTACCGTCGACCATTGTCGTGTTTCGAGCCGTTGATCAGTTATCTTTGGTATCTCGTTTTCCTCTGATACCCAATCTTTGATTGTCCATGATATGTCTGTACAGTTCCAAGCTGCTAATGTGAAACATTGTGGCCAAGGGGCTGCAGCTTACATGAACTCTGTGAGTCTGATATGCCAGGGGAGGAAACCCAACATGCTGTTCACTGGACCGAACTTCACCACCAGCTCTGGATCTGGGATGTTTTTACTTTCTGAAAAAAAGAGAATAAAACAAAAGTGGAAAAAAAAATCAATCAAATGTATTCCTTTAAAGAGACCATACTAGGGTTTCTAATGATGCTACCCCAGACCAGCAGCTCTCCAACTCTTTCTTGAAAATTAAAAAGAGAGATCATATCTCTCCTATCCTGGCTTCTCTTCATTGGCTTCCTGTTAAATCCAGA